ATCAGGTTCATCAAATTATGTACATCATTTTCGTTTCAATCTTATTTGTATAAGGTGTTCTGGGATCCCCAAATTATCCTGGATTACAGGCTATTTGATCTACTGGATCAACCAAGGCATACACGATTCCCTCAGTGACGATACCTAACCAAACATGTGCATTGAGTTTTTGCGCATCACTTATAATATATTTTGATGTATATGAGATGCTCAAGGTTCTCCAAATTATACTGGAGTTCAGATCAAATGATCTACCAGAGCCGATACAATGCCCTTAGTTACGAAACAACCTCTAACAGGTTCATAGAGATTATGCACATCATTTAGGTTTCAATTCATACTTCATGCTACTCCATACCCATGCAAGTCGATACAATTTCCAACCCGAAAGAAACCCTCGCTCAGACTGGAATTAAACCCACCAAAAACTATTTATGTATAGTTTTATTTACTGAAGTTTCAAAAATATTCTGGAATTTAAATCTTAACTTTCTACAAACCTCTGTACGATGTGTGGATTATGTTATGCAAATCATGCATGATGTGCTAATCCTATAATACTAATAAGGCCTCGGAGTTGATGCGAGTTATTGCTCGCACCCTTGTCGGACCATGCCGAGATGTTGATGGCTGGTTGTATGTCACAACTTGAAGAAGTTGATCGTGCTTGTCAGTAAGTTCAGTAAGTAATTGCTCAGTCATTTCGTGATCATGTTTGAGAATATGTTTTCGCTGAGGGACATCGTACATGCCTTAGTTGATCCAGGAGATCAAGTAATCCAAACTCCAGGACAATTTGGAGAACCTAGAGCTTCGTATACACATGAAATTAATACGTAAATGATGCGCATAATTTATTTAAAAAACAAACTGTTTGGAGTTGTTTCGTAGTTCAGGGCAAAGCATCAGTTATGGTTGATAGGGTAGATTTGATCTGAGCTCCAGGATATTTTGGATAACATTTATCATCTTATATACATCAAAATAGACTATTAGTCATGCGCAAAAACTCTATGAACATCTGTGAGTTGATGTCGTCACAGAGGATGCCGTGCAGGCTTTGGTTGATCCAGTATATCAAATATACTGAGCTCCAGGACAATTTGGAGAACCTAGAACATCGTATACGCATGGAATTGAAACGTAAATTATGTGCATAATCTCTATAAAACTGTTTGGCGTTGTTTCGTAACTAAAGTCATGGTCGTCACTGAGGATGCGGTACAGGCCTTGGTTGATCAAGTATATCAAAAAGACTGTATTCCTGGGCAATTTTGTGACCCGAGAACATCTTATACACATGAAATTGAAACGTTAATGTTCTTCGCAATCTCTGTGAACCTATTTGAAAATGTTTCATGACTAAGGGCTTCGTATCGATCATTGTTGATCTGGTAGATCTTTTTATTTTAACTCCAGGATAATTTGGAGAACCTAGAACATCTTATACACATGTAATTGAAACGAAAATGATGTATATAATCTTAATGAACTTGTTTGGAGCTGTTTCGTTACTAAAGGCCTTGTTGAAGACATGGTTGATCTGGTAGATCATTTGATCTGACTACAGAATAATTTGGACGTCCTAAACTATTACTTCCCTTGCAAAGGAAGGTGTTATCAGAGATTTTATGCCTCACAAGATCCCAACGGCACCGAATGGGATTGAACCCAGGCCATTTGGAGTGCGAGGCATAGTCACGCTTACCACTACACCACCGGCACCGCTAGCTGTCTAGACTTCCCAGAAATGTGTTTAACTATTTAAAAAAAAAACTTCATATTATTCTTCTGAAGTTAATTGAACTGCCATGAAGTTCCGAGATCTTCCTCGAAGTTTCCATAATTTTCCTGATGTTTTGAAAACTTTGTTGAAGCTCACGTAACTTTCCCTCAATCTTCCTTCAATGTCTATGCACTTCCCTAAAGTTCCCTAAATTTTCAAATTATTCAAAAACTATCCTGATTTTCATATAGGTTTCCTGAAGATCTTGAAATGTCTCTGAAGTTTTTGAAATATTCCATAATTTCTCGGAACTCCTTGAAAGTTTTTGCAATTTTCGTGAAGTTCATTCAAGGACTGCTTTGAAATTCTTTGATCATCCTCGAAGTACTCGGAACTTCCTTGAATATAACGAAACTTCCTTAAAAAAAATCTATGATCCCCTTTGGAACTCTCTGTACTTTCATTCGGAGATTTTATAACTTCTTAAAAACGCTCGCAATTTTTTTAAATTTCATGAAACCATCTTGATGTTCTCTGATCTTCGCTGAAGTCCCCTCGAATCCACCATGGAACATGAAACTACCTCTACAATATCCTTCCATTTTCTTATTGATCATTATCCTTATGATCATTAAACTTCCCTAACATGTTCAAAATGTTCAAGACCCTGTCAAAACTTTGCTGAAGTTTTCTTTTAAAGTTCCAGCAATTTCCATTAAATTAATTGAACTGCCCTAAGCTTCTCTGATATTTACTGATTTTCTCGCAGCTTCCCTGAAGGTCTCTCAAATCTCCTGAAATAAATGGAACTGTCCTGAAAACCTTAAAACTTCCCTGAAGTTCTCTTGACTACTATGAAGTTTTCCGTAAAATTTATGTTATTTCTAATAGCACTCTGAAGTTCTCTGGACTTTTCTGAGATTCCCGGAACTTCTTTCAACATTTTACAGAAACTAACTTGTCGTGACTGGACAGAGGTTTTCATTCTCGGGCACGCTTCCACGAATCTGCCGTTCAGCTGGTGGTCCGATGTAGTAACCGGACCGAGGTTTCCAGCCTCAGTCACGGTTCTACGAATCTGCTGCTCCCTCTGTTGGTCCGCTAGTGCCACTATCTCTTCTGCTGGTGGTCCTTTGCTGTTGGTACGCTCTTTCCACTTTTCCGTCATAAGAATCCCGTCAACGAGCTTAGGTACCTCATATTTATACCTCTAGCTGTATCAAAATTCACGAACCAATCAGATTCTATTTACATACGGTCTATCACGCTTCACGCTCACTCGATTTTACTCATTTCTATTCCATACTAACTCTATCTACTACATAACTGTCTTGAATTTATCGGAACTTGCCCTTACAAATCTTTATACTTACCAGACAGTCTGAACTTTCCTGATGTTTTTTGGCACACCCCTGAAATCCATAAAGAGCTCAAGACATAGCTTCTCAGAGCTTTAATTCCGTCGAATCCCTCAGAGATACTTTATTGAAATTTCAAAAATGTTGCTCAATTTCTCTCTTCTCTGTAAGTTCTCTTGATTTCCCTGCAGTTCTCTGGATATCGCTGAAGTTTTCAAATGTTCTTAAAAGATCCTGCAGTTTTATTGAAGCAAATGGAACCGATTTAAAATTATTGATGCTTCCCTGAAATTCCCAATTTTTTTCCAAAAGTTATCGGTACTTCACTTCTGTTCTCGCATTTCGATTATGAAACTTCTGTGAAATTCTCGGCATTTCCTTTCATTCCTCCGAACGTTTTCAAAGTTCCTACAATTTGTGTAAAGACAATGGGACTGTCCTCAAGATCTCTTGCCTTTGCTGAAGTTTACGTAAGTTCCCTGAAGTTCTTGCAATTCTCCTGATCATGTTCCTGAAAATGCTCGGAAATTAATGGAACTATCCAAAAGATTCTTAAACTTCCCTGAAGTTCTATGAACGGTCGTGAATATTTGCATCTTATGCAAAGTTCTCGAATTTTTTCTTAAGTTCACTGCACTTCCCGGAAGTTCTTTGGACTATCCTTAAATTTTTGGAAGTTCTCTATTTTCCTGAAATCATGTAACTGCCCTGATGTTTTCAGAACTACTCTGAAGTTCACTGAAAAAAAACTTGCTAAAGTTAATCAAATTGCACTCATGAGAACTAATGGCGGTAAGCTCCAACTCGGAATAACTTTTAATACCATTCCTGTTTGTATGATTTCCAAAGTGCTTGTTTTGAGCCGTGTTGATTAGCTCTGATGTCGACATCAAAGCAGCCGGAAATTCTTGATCGGGATTTAATCCGCAGATAAAACCGGTTGGACCATCATAAATGAATTTTCCTTAAATCTTTGGGAGTTTCCTGAAACTATCGGACCATCTTCACGGCCAATTAGATCAACCCAAATTTGAGTTCAGTTTACTCAAAATCACAAAAAGTGTAGGAACTCAGCAATTACTAGATTTGCTTGATGTTTGCTATGAGAATCCTCAAAAATCAGCCGGAAAATGAAAAAAAAAATACGAAAAGTTTACTCAGTCTAGTAGTAGGACCAGTAGACTGAGAGAATCAATTTTTTACCTTTCTCATATTCGGGATTTTTTTCCTGAAAAAAAAACCTGGAAAAACCAGAACAAACAAGCGGCAAATTTGATCATCGCTGAGTACCTGAGTACGGATTTATGAGTAAACTGAACTCAAATTTGGGTTGATCTCATTGGCCGTGTTTGTCATTTTTCAAAATTCAGCTCCAGTCATCACTTCCAAAAAAATTGACATCTATTGAATTGACCGCAAAGAAATCTGGCATCACTGGTTTGAGCTCAGGAGAGTGTAAATTTCAAAATTTATATCAGTCCTACGTTAGTCGCAACTAATTCAGAGATAGGTTTTGAAACCGTGACCAGTGTTGCATCATTCTCAGATTAATGGCTAAACTCACTACACCACTATTCAATGCAACAGTCTTCCATCCCCACAAGCATCGTCCTCATGGCTCATGACTCGGTCCGAACGAAACGAAACCCATGAAATTCAGTAGGTTATTGAAATGAAAATTGTTTCCCATTTATTTCTGTCAATGTTCCATTTCCACCCTCCCCCATTTTCCTAGACCAATAGAAAAACGAGAACCGACCTATGGTCGGTGCGGTGACCATCAGCTCTTATTATCAGCGATTTTTCAGAAGTATATCCTCTATTTTTTTGCTATTGAACTTCGCCATCATTGGTGACCGGCCACTTGAATAATCCTCCATCGTTCTTTGTTTTCTTTTTTCTTTTCGTCGTCGCAGGTGAGGAGTGCGTTTGTCGTGACTGGCACGGTTGTATAATGTCCCAGTCAATTGTCGGCTTGGAGAACGTCCAGCCGTATAAATTCTCCGACTGCAGTCATCAGGATTATATCGAAGCACTGCGGTACGGGCACGGCCTCTGCTTATTCAATAAACCGAACGAGGTAAGTTCTTTTTTTTTTGTGGCTATTTTTCGTCTGTCTTTGGTTTTGGGGAACTCTCCGTAGATTCGAACGTGGCTCTGGTTTTTTTTTAAAGGAATTAGCATTTCATGAGAACGAATGATCATCGAAAGCGAACTGGGTGGACGTTAGCCTTTTCTGAGTGCTTAAGATGTTTAGAGTTTCGTCCTATACTCTTAAATTTCAATCTCACATAGTTACAAATTTAGAACTCTGACTTTGTCATTATTAAAATGGCAACAAAATTTCGGTTTGGATTCGAATATAAGAGCAACACGAACTTAGAGACACAAAAAACTTCCTCGAGCATTTGGCCCACCCTGTATCGAATCATTCAAATCGAAGCACCACACTGGCAGCAGCTGGTCCGCTGAAAAACCTACTAATATCGAACCGATGCGCTTTCCATTATTCAATCAGCGTCGGCCCTAATTTCAAATTTATGTCCCTTTTTCCGCTCTCTTTCTCGCTCCACCGTATGCGGGAACGGGCAGAGTTACCAAAATACGAAAGCTATATAGGATTCAATGAAGAATTCAGAGCCACTCGCTAAATGAGTAATGAAGCGATTGATTGTGTCCTCCCCCCACCAAGCTGAAGTTCGAAATTGGCTAAACTTTCTAAACTACAATAACAAACTGTGTTCTCCAACTATTTTCCCCCGCCAGGTCGTGTTTCGGAAAAACTGCGGCAACGGAATCGTCGAGGAGGATGAGGAGTGCGACTGCGGAAGTGCGCTCGACTGCGACAAGACGGACCCGTGCTGCGATGGCATCACCTGCAAGCTGAAAAAGGAATCCCAGTGCGCCTCTGGACCATGCTGTGATAAATGTATTCTAAAGCCTCCGGGCATGATCTGCCGGGATGCGCACAACGAGTGCGACCTGCCGGAGTACTGCAACGGGGAATCCGGACAGTGTCCGCCCGATGTATATAAAAAGAACGGGAACCCGTGCGGGATGAATGCGACCGGGTTCACCACCGGTAAGTACAAGACCTTAAAAAAATAGAGATTTTAATTTGATCTCGAAACTAGCGCTCACACTTTTTACTATTTCGGATGACCCTGTGGACAAGTGGATACTTCAATGGTTCAACGGTACCACACACTTAGAAATAACTATTTTTACACTAGAGGCAAACGATCTTTGACATACACTCATAAAATGAATCACAAAACCAGTGGAAAATATCCATGTGAATTTCACATAACTTTCATGTGATCCCATAATTGGAAATTGCACCACTAAATCACATGAACGTTATGTGTCCAATGAAATCTATATGATTTCTCATATAGATTTTCCAATGCTATGTGATGATCAGGTAAAAATCTCGCGTAACATTTGAAAAGGACCTATCCTCGTTGATCGATTCTCTTCATCGACTTTCTTTTTGGCTTACCACGGCAACATAAACGAATTTCTCGCTAAGCTCGCAGCACAGTTTGACAGAAGATGATGTTAGCTTGCACCTGAATCAACACACTAAATGGAAAATTCATTTGCAGTCGGGTTATTCGAAAAAGAGAAAATCGATGAAGAGAATCTAACAACAATGATAGGCCCTTTTCTCGTGTTGCGCGAGAAATCATTGTTTTTTTTTTGGAAAAATACTATGTGCGTTCCTAATAGAAACTAAGTGAAAACTTTTTTCAGTGTAAGTCATGTAGGGGAAATCTATGTAATGTCGGCCTAAATGCCCCTAATTTGAATAAATTCAGCAATCCACTAAATTTTCAATAGCGACCAAAAATATACATTACTACCGTCCCAATGACGCGTTCATCATGATAAAATTGAAAATAGCCGATTTCTGGTGATGGGCCCAATCTTAGATCCATAGGCCAATATTAGAGCCATTTCCCATATTAACAATATTATAATACATATCAAGCTGAAAATTGCATTAGGTCCTTTGTATCACCACGACCATCTTAAGACATTCTCTGGTATTTTCAGCACACATATCGATAAAAGAAGCTTTCATCTAGCATCTAATACGACAAACACAACATGAAACGGTTATGTGCTCATGTTATTAACGAAAAAGAGAGTTGACGAAGAGAATCGATCAAGATTACTTAGGACCTAATGCAATTTTCAGCTTGATACACCTCGATGAAACATAATGCACTGGTAACGAGTCTTGCTCAGAGAGTGAGTCACTTTTACTCATTCGAATTGAGACATTTCTAAAAGCGTAGATGACCTACACGGAAAGAAAAAAGTACCTAATTTGGAGTTCTTTTCACCCAGGTTGGTAGATCCGTGCGCCAACTTAACATTGACTTCTAGCGCTTACTCAATTTTGAGTTGTTGTCATTAACACGCATGTAAGCAGGATTACATACGTCAAGTTGAAACTACTCAAAATTGAGTTTAACACAACTTACTCAATTTTAACTTGGCGCACGGAACTGTCGAGTTGGGCGAATAGAATTCAATTTTGGGTTGTTTTGCTCTTTTTGTTTTTGGCAACAGCAGTGAGAGGCATCAACTCAAAAGTAAGTTTAAAGAACTCAACCGTTGGGTAGTTTTGGTTCTCCGTGCAGGATGAGTCTTTGTCCGCGGGAAATCAAAATTGAAAGTCATTGTTTACATTACAGTTTCCAGACCATTTTCACATGTAAGTCTAAATTTGATTCGTACCAATATATCAGATGGTCATCAGTTATACACAATCTATTTCCCGTCCAATAGCTCCGCTTTACCCTCACTTACTATTGTGGTAAATCGGAACGGGTCATGATAATCTGTTTTATATATAGCCCATCAGCCGTATTCGCCTTAATGGAACTTGTCATTGAAATGCTCAAATCTGGATCAACAATAGAAAAGGGCCCATCAGCATTTGTAAACAAACCGTTCCAAAGCCCATTCCTCACAAATCGAAGGCCACCCACACAAACCAACACCATCAGGTGGAACTTTTCCCTATTCGATGATGGTGTTGGTTTGCGTGGGTGGCCTTCGCTTTGTGAGTAAAGGGCTTTGGAACGGTTTGTTTACAAATGCTGATGGGCCCTTTTCTATTGCCGATGAAGGAAAAATAACCAGTCCGCATCGTGCTCTCTTGCCATTTGGATCTATTTATTTTTTGCTAAAGGAATATGTTCACGAACAGCCATAAGAATAGAAATTATTGCATGGGTATAACCTTTTTGTTTCGTCATCGGTGGGTGAAAATGATGATGCTGGAATGCCACAGCAACAAGCACCTATGAGAAGTGCCGATTAATATTATGACAATAACAACCCACAACCTGGTTCTAAATAATTAGTGTTCACTGGAAGGCCATCCGAGGGCCCACAACTCCCGTAGTCTTTTTTTTTCCTTTGATTTGTTTTCCGTCGATTTTGTTTTCCGTGCTGAGCACCAATGCTATCGACGCCACGGAGGCACCTGGACCCTACCTATCGACCCATCAACTCATGAACCGGGGGACCAACGGATTTACTTCCCTTACTCATCAGAGATGTTATGCCTCAGAACATCCCGGCGGCGCCGACTGGGAAAGAACCCAGGCCTGCTGAGGTGTGAGGTAATCATGTTTACCACTACACCACCGGCGCCGCTCTCCCGTAGTCTTGATTAAGTACACAGCAAAAAAAAATGTAATATCGATCAACGTAATTCATGCTGATGTATGAAATAATGATGTAATAGCAAAAAGCAGATACAATATTGCATCAATGGATGTAATTTTGTTCGGAAAATCGATGTACATCGTACAATGTGATATTACACAACCGATGGATTGACCTGGTTGCAGCAGTTTCGATGTAATATTCAACAACTTTTTTTGCTGTGTATGTATGTCTTGAATTTTCGCTGCAACTATATGAACTGTAAGTAAAGTGGTGTAGCTGTTCAATTGATCCAAGTGATTACCAGATTACCCACCGGAAGATCCGGAACATCCGTAAAATTTATTACTGCGTAAATTTTATCACAGTAGTATATTAGTTGATCATCGGCTCTGAGTGGTCACCAGATGACCCTTCCGAAGATCCGGAACATCCGTAAAATTTAGTGCTGCGTAAATTTGATTAAAGTAGGCCATGATTTATTTCTAAAGACTGTTCTCGAAAAAAAAAATGCAACAGGCAAAAATGAGCACCAAAAATATATATATTTTTGAAACTCTCAGGGAATAAATAAACACATATTAGCTATGTTTCTGCAAAGCTGAATTATTCTACCTCCTCTCCTAGGCTAAATGCCCGCATCTTGGACTTGATTGGCCTGAGGCTGGTTCGCCTCCAACGTCTTGGACTTAACGCTACCCATCAAATCCTGTGCAACACTTGCGCCATCTTTCTTACACACTTTCATCCACTCTTTCTTCAAACCATTGTCGTTTTTGAGGACCTTCCCTGTTTTTCGGAGCTTGCCCTTCATAATAGCCCAGAATTTTTCTATTGGGTGAAATTCTGGTGAGTTTGGCGGATTTGCCTCCTTCGGCACAAAAACAACATCGTTGGCTTCGTACCACTCGCGAAACCGGTGATGTCGCGTAATGGCACGATGCCAGATGCGGCCAAACAGAGGGTTACCTTCGCGGGACCGGAGGAAGGACAGCAGGCGCTTCTGGAGGCATTCTTCTTTATATATTTGGCCGTTGATGGTGCAGGTCGTTATGTACGGCTTGCTGAATTTGCCGCACCCACAGATCGCCTGCCACACTAAGTACTTCTTGACAAATTCGTCGACCTTCATCTTCCGGAACTTCTCCGGAACATCCAGGCGGGACTTGCCGACGAAAAACTCCAGGCCGGGCATCTGCTTGACGTATGTCTCGCCATCCATTACGATGCATTTCGGCTGGCTGCACCAACCACTCGCGGTACAGCTTCCTGGCGCGGGATTTGGCCACCGTATTCTATTTATCAGTTCGGTTAGGCGCCTTTCTTACCTTGAAGACATGAAGTCCGGCCCGCTTCATTGTCTGCTGGACGAACCAGACGGAAGAATTGACCTTCTTGGCCACGTCCCGAATCGAAAGGTCTGGATTGCGCTTGAAGTAATCCCTCACCTTCCTTACGTTCACGGGGTCGATCGTCTTCGCTTTTCTTCCGCTGCCAGCTCGCCGCTGGGTCGTCTGGGTCCCCTTGAACGATTTTATCACACGAGATATGGTCGAATTGTCGATTCCAAACTGTTTCACGATCCATCTGTGGGAATGGTCTGGATTCCACAATCGCTTCCATATTTTTTTGTCGAAGCACTTCTTGCTTGCAAGCCATCTGTATAACACCTTGACAGATTGTGACGAGATTCGCCACATGTAAACATTATACTCTAAACTAGTTTTACTCAAAATTTCATCTACTTTTACTCATGCAATAAAAAGTTGGCACAAAAGAAAGTGTTGCATTTTTTCGGAGTACAATCTTTACAACTAGGGGATACGGCTCTAATGTTGGCCTACACCCAACCGGTGGATGTAAGATTCGCTTACAATTATGTGGGATTCATCATCAGAGGATGTAAGTGGAGACCGCATGAACCGAGGATGCGATATACCTAGCTGCGGTCCGATGTAAGAAAATTGGAGACCGAAAAATGTGCCTAAAAGCAAACATGAAGCGCTCATTTTCTCGCATGCTCGACTTCATATGCTTTTTCTGCTGGATAGATTCGAGATAAGTGTGTGCGTCGTTCTTCAATGTTCTACAATGTGCGTCGTTGTTCTACAAGCTTACTGGTATAGTCGAAAGCGTAGATTGAACACGAAATAAAAATGCTCGACTTCGTATGCTTTTTCTGCTGGAGAGATTCGTGACAAGTGTGTGCGTCGTTCTACAATGTTCTACAATGTGCGTCGTTCTACAAGCTTACTGGTATAGTCGAAAGCGTAGATGGAACACGAAATAAAAAAAGACAAAAAACCATTCCATCGCCTGCATGGTAAATTTCTAACATTCGTTGCGATGTTCATGAACAGAGGATGATAGGCACTGGAACTAACATTCATTGTA